TGTTAAAGACCAACCACGATCCTGAAGTAGATTGTATGACTGGAGGATATTTAGAACAGTTTTCCCATACACATGTATTTTCTATGCAACAAAGAAGCGCCAACAGTATTACCTTTACAAAGCTCCAGTTTCTCCTGAAAAATATTTAATTAATATTTACTGTACCATTTGCAGTTTTTTTTTGTAGTTGCAGCAGCCATCAGGAGAAACAGCACTACCCAGTGAGGCATGCATTATCCAACAAACTCGGAAGCAGGGGCGGACTGACAACTCATGGGGCCCCCAGGCAAAAGGGGATCATGGGGCCCCTGTGTCCTTGCCCAAACTCAAAAAAGCCTATGAAAAAGGTACCAGGGGCATCTCATGGGGCCCCTACTGACTCCGGGCCCTCGGGCATTGCCCAGGTTTCCCAATGGTCAGTCCGCCCCTGCTCGGAAGTGTGACAGTACTAGTGTTAGGCGCTGTTTAACTTTGCAAAGATTTCACTTGCCACCCATAGGAAATGTAATCAATTTTCCTTACAGGGTTCTGCTGGTTTGAATTACCAGTATTGCTGTCATGCTTTATATGTAAATATTGAATTGAAGTGTGAAATCCTTCCCCAGTGGCTGAATTCTCCATCTCACCTAGAAAAGTATTAGTGGAAAAATTCCTTTATCTTTATAGAATGTTCAGTAAACTGCTTTAAAAATTTCTTACACAAGGATGAGAGGACAAAAGATGCATCAGGAGTGCTGTGATCTGGCCCTTCAGAATGGCATCTTACATTTAGCCCTTATTAGAGACCTTTGAAAGATATTTAGTATATTCATGAGAAACTTCCTCTTTATAGCTCAGAATGAATAGGGAAACCCTGGAGTAAATTAGAGATCACAGGCTATTACTGTACAATAGCTTAGAAAGTATGGAAGACCGCCCTCGTGCAAAAAATGACCCAGTATCCGCACAAAGGAGCAGATACTGGTGGGTTAAAAACCTTCTACGGCCCTCTCCAGCTCTCCTAGAGTAACTGCTCATCTCCTGGAATCTCCTACATGCTCGATACTGTGCTGGGGGACACTGCAACCCTTCTGGCAATGGCACGTATTGATGTGCCATCCTGGAGGGGTTGGACTGCCTGTGCAACATCTGTAGAGTCCAGGTATCACTTCATGTTACCAGTAGTGACACTGACCATAACCAAATGCAAAACTAGTAAAAAAAAAAAAGTCAGAGTAGGGAAAACAAATGTCAGTGAAAAACCATTCCTGTTTTGGGGGTCATCTCATTGTTGCCCATCTAGTGCACCTGTTAATTTCATTAACACCAAAGCAGCTAAAACTGATTAACCACCCCCTCTGCTACTTAACTGGCCAGATCAATATCCTAGGAGTTTGACTTAATGCTATACTCAGAATTAAAAGTGTTCCTTTTAATTTGTTTGAGTAGTGTATAGCATAAAATGGATTGGTGCGTTTCCCAAACAAGTCGCTTTCTCGGGAGACACGCTTCTTGACAGTTTATCTTTGAAAATAAATCGCATTCATAAAATGCCACTGCCTGAGCCCTACAAAATTACCTCCAGCAGGCCACAGGTGTGAATGTCTGACCAATCAGAAACAGATTTCTTGAGGGTGGCCTGAGGGCCCGACGTCTTCTAATGAGCCCTGTGCTCACTGCACAGCGCCATGGAGCTCAATTGGCATTTGCCACTAAACACCGGAAATTGGCAGGTCTGCAACTGGCGCCCTGTGCTTTTCACAGATGAGCAAGTTCACCCTGAGCACGTGACAGACGTGAAAGGGTCTGGAGAAGCTGTGAAGAACGTTATGCTGCCTGTAACATCATTCAGCATGACCGTTTTGGTGGGTCAGCAACTGGGGAAGGCATATCCATGGAGGGAGACACAGACCTCTACAGGCTAGACAATGGCACCCTGACTGCCATTAGGTATCGGGATGAAATCTTTGCACCCATTGTCAGACCCTATGCTGGTGCAGTGGGTTCTGGGTTCCTCCTGGTGCATGACAATACCCAACCTCATGTTGCAAGAGTATGCAGGCAGTTCCTGGAGGACGAAGGAATTTATACCACTGAATGGCCCACACGCTCGCCTGACCTAAATCCAATAGAACACCTCTGGGATATCACGCTTTGGGTCCATCCAACGCCACCAGTTTGCGCCTCTGACTGTCCAGGAGCTTAGTGATGCCCTGGTCCAGATCTGGGCGGAAACACCCCAGGATACCATCCGTCTCATTAGGAGCATGCCCCGACATTGTCAGGCATACATACAAGCACGTGGGGGCCAAACTACCGAGTACCATTTTAAGTTGGTGCAATATAATTTCAGCAAAACTGACTAGACTGCAGCATAATTTTTTCACATTTTCAGAGCATCTTTGAATTCAGTCCTCTGTATGTTGATAATTTTCATTTCCATCAAACGATGGGGCATTCTTAACACATTACCCCCAGTTCTTAGTATAGATATCAAGCATGATATTTTTCCCCATGGAGATCTAATGTGTTTTCAAAGTGTTCATTTAATTTTTTGGAGCAATGTATATGTTTGATGATATGGCACGGGATATGTATTTTGTGTTTTTTTTACTTTGTTAATAAAGACTTGTTTTACATTTATATTTATACCATTACTTTTTTTATATTCCAAAATCTGAAAATGCTAGCTTCCTCAGTGGTATTCAGACCATCAGATTTTAATACTCTAAGTAGCATGGTCTAACAAGTACACAGATTACAACTGAAAAATGTCAGATGTCATCTGTATGCTGTGAGTGACCCAGCATAATTCAGATCAAAATGCAGTTTTCCCAACGCACATGTACCTGCAAGTGGCTGTTTAATAGTATAGGGTGCTGCAGTAACCACAGGCTGGGAACTGCAGACAATCCAAGAGGAAGAATGTCACCAAAAACCAAAGAATCCTCAGAAGGATCCAAAGCTTTACTTAGTGGTCACATAATATAAACAGCAGTAACATTTCAGAGCCACGCAGGGCCCCTTCATCTTCACTTGCCTAACGAAGGGGCCCTGCGTGACTCCAAAACAGTGCCACCGTTTATATTACGTGACCACCAAGTAAAGCTTTGGACCCTTTTGAGGATTCCTTGGTGTGTTGGTGACATTCTCTCCAACATTACTCAGCTTATCAATATAACAGCCCTACAAGTATTTTCCAAAGAAAATTTGATGTTTCCTTTCATTATGCACATTTTTGGCCTGAAACCATAATGCAAGCTATGATTCATTTAATTAAAACATTTTGAAGTTACATGTTAGTCTATTACCACTCAATAAAACTTTTGCAAAAGTAATCTAAAAATGTGTTCAGGTTTGATGCCATACCACAACATCACATTTTCATTGACGGTTACACTTGGCCATACACAAGAAATTTAATGTAATCAGCTTTCGATTGTTAAAAAACAAAAAACAAAAAGGACCACCGACCGTACAATTCTTTTACGGCAGTAATAGAAGCTGTTGGTGGTAGGTTAAGTCAACTTGTTCTTTTAGGTGATTAAAAGCAGACTTAGGCCTCATTTACACTGGCCTTGTCAAGTCTGCATATACATTTAAGGGAAATTTCTAAACGCATGTAATGATCTTTCAAAATTGCCCATCACACTGAGCAATTACTGGGGTTTTAAGTGCGGCCAGTTTAGCCATGTTTAGAGAAAACAGAATTTCATGCATCCAAGATCTGATTAGAAACTCAACGCATTGTAAATGCAGCTAAACCTTTAAAGCAGGAACATCTAAATGCAGAAAAAAGTGATCCAAGAAGCATAAAAGTTGTTTATGGTTCCCAGATAACTTCTCCTGCATTTAGAAAAGCTAAACATAGGAATGCTAGGCTAAATGAGGCCTAGAAGTACCCATGTTTAACCACTAGCCTACTGTGCACTTACAGTATACCCCCTTCATGCCCAGGTCAACTTTCAGCGCTGTTGCACTTTGAATGACAATTGTGCAGTCATGCAAAACTGCACACATGAAATTTTGATCTTTTTTTCACACAAATAGAGCTTTCTGTTGGTGGTATGTACTTGCCGCTGGGTGTTTTATATTTTGCACTATAAACAAAAGAGAAGATTTTGAAAAAAAAAGTTTTTCTTGGATTCTATTATAAAATTCTATTATAAAATTTTGCAAACAGGTAATTTTTCTTCTTCACCGATGTGCGTTGAGGCTGCACTGCTGGGCACTGATCAGTGCCTTAATGATCGGTGCCGATCAGTCCTTTGACAATTGCCGGTTATCGGCAGTACTTTCCTCACGCTGTGGCAAAGTGCCGTCGATGACCGGCAACTGCATTTACCCGGTGATCTACTGTGTCATTGGATAAGGCTGATCACATGGTAAAAGGCTGCTGTGATTGGCCTTTTACCACATCACGTGATCAGCTGTGTCTGTAGGACACAATCGATCACGGAGATCGCCAGGGGCGCGCAGGAGGTTGCGTTCTGGGAGGATGTCATATGACGCCCTCCCAGAACTGGCCAGCTGCGGTGAAGCTGTCATTCGGCTATCTGCGGTCGGCAAGTGGTTAATAGCCATCATTACGGCTCATTAGATCGCAATTTTGTAGACCATATTTTAAAAACAAAACAGTGCCAAAAGCACAACATTGTAAGTACAGCGCATATAACCTAATGATTTTTTTTGTACCAGGCTCTAGAGATGAACAAATCACAAATGCACTGTACTAGGTGTTTTCTGTAACAATTCTGTTCAATCCTATTTGATACAATCTGTCAATGAAAAATTAGACAAACGTATGAGGTAGTTTTTGCAACAAGATGTTTTGTTACAAAAGACATTTTTCTTAGTCTCGAAAACTACCTGCTTTATTAAAAAACCTCTTTAGAGAGCTCAACACCCCATGCTCCATTTTATAAACAAATAGTCAGAGCAGGGACTCAATGCATGTTTGTAGCAAAAGTATTCTTGAATCTGATGAAGTTACAATCTTGGCATACAATAAAACAAAGTACTTACTCTCCTATTTTTTGAAGCTCGCCTCCTCTTCCACTGTACAGCGTTAGGCATCCTTTCCACAAAGAGGCATACCTTAAATGAGATTGCACTAGATCATTACATAAATATACAACTTTGAAACCCAAATATTAGAACATGATGGAAAATCTAAAGTTAAACATCTGCTTTTCTACTGCTAAAAAAAAATAGACATACCTGGCGACCATTTTGAAGAAAAATTCCAGGATAGCAAATTAATTCCAAACAGGCCAATAAGACCATAAACAGCCAAGCACACATTCGAAACAGCAACTAAAATTACAGTTATATTGCCAAACTAAAAAATAGTTGGGGAATTCTGTTATCCAGAAAGATATCTGGAAATTGAGTAATCAGGCAAGCCTCTATCCAGTCATCTTTTAGGCCAGCACAAGAGAGTGGGAAAATCTAAGAGGGATCACTGACTGCAGAACCTTCTCTGCATTAATATTCCAGCACTATATCTGCCAGAGAGAACAGAGCCACATCATGCAAATAGGGGACAAGCAGCTGATCCCCGTGGGTATAGCTTTATAAGACAGGGAGATACCAGTCCTTCCAGAAGTGAAGGCTAAGTATTAAACCATAAATATTAAAACAAAAGTCGCGCTGCAAAATACCATTAAAATAAATATACATCAATGAATCTCCAACTTTGTGTCATTAATCCTGTACTTAATCAAAACGTAACATGTGTGCCATGTGACAAAAAACTAAAAGTAAAAAAGTATAAATTAAATTAATCAGTAAATCAATCTGATAAATATAATAAGTAAATAGTGACAGTCCCACAAATTAGTGTGATCCAAACGATGTCTGTATTCCTTGAGTGAGTGCCCTTCGAACTATATCAATATACGCTCACCTCAATGAAACCCTAATATTTAATTTAGGCAAACATAACTTTGTGTCCTTAATTATGGTTGGATATTTTCAGCTGCTGTGCATTTAGGATCTGCTGGGTGATGGATATCCCCTGGAGTTTCCTAGATAATCCAATCCTTATTTGCAGGTGTGGATGCAGAGACCTCTCCCTCCTTATGCTGCAGGATTACTCCTCCATCCCTCCGTTTTCTCCTTAACTCGCCACCGTTTTAAATATGTGAAAGAAAGGACATATAGTGCCTTATCCTTTTAAAAGTCTTAATTAGAGCCCAATATACTTATGCACTTACATTGTATAAACAAATAACACGCTTTGTAATATCAAACGAGCCTCCTGTGTGTGTGTCGCACACAGCCTATACTCGCCGTCTAGTCCTCGGGTGTGTGGTGACGTCAGAGCCCCTCTCCTACGTGTCGCGCCACCAGGTCACATGGCTTCGTCAGGGGGACCCGGTGGCGCACCACATAGGTGAGGGGCTCTGACGTCACCACACACCCGAGGACTAGACGGTTGCCAGTGTCCCGGTGGTGCAACGCGTAGGGGAAGGGCTCTGACGGTACTATGCACCAGAGGAATAGACGGCAAGTATAGGCTGTGTGCGGCACACACACAGAGGAGGCTTTCTTGATATTGCAAAGCATGTTGTTTATATAATGTAAGTGCATAAGTATATTGGGCACTAATTAAAAGGCTTTTAAAAGGATAAGGCACTATATTTCCTTTCTTTCACATTTAAAAACGGTGGAGAGTTAGGGAGAAAACGGAGGGATGGAGGAGTAATCCTGCAGCATAAGGAGGGAGAGGTCTCTGCATCCACACCTGCAAATAAGGATTGGATTATCTAGGAAACTCCAAGGGATATCCATCACCCAGCAGATCCTAAATGCACAGCAGCTGAAAATATCCAACCATAATTAAGGACACAAAGTTATGTTTGCCTAAATTAAATATTAGGCTTTCATTGAGGTGAGCGTATATTGATATTATAATTCGGAGGGCACTCACAAGGAATACAGACATCGTTTGGATCACACTAATTTGTGGGACTGTCACCATTTACTTAATATATTTATCAGATTGATTTACTGATTAATTTAATTTATACTTTTTACTTTTAGTTTTAATTATGTCATATCGCACATTACTTTTTGATTAAGCACAGGATCACACAAAGTTGAAGATTCACTGAGGTATATTTTAATGGTATTAATTTTGGAGTGCGATATTTAGGTTTTAATATTTATGGTTTAATAACACATGAGGATGTGTACGAATGTCACTCTTTCAGTGGCTCACAAGCGCAATTTATATAATTTTCTAGAAGTCTAATGCTGGCCCTACACTATACAATTGTCTGTCCAATTTCCTTTAGATTTACCTTCAACTATGTAGTACAAGGACATGCCTAATTGGATACAATTGAAAGTGTTGTTAGGTTTGACCTCATTATATGGATTTTGGTAAATCAACCAAAAATCTCAAGAAAATTGTATAATGCATGGCCAGCCAAGGTATTAGTTTTATAGAATTTTTTTTTTTAGCAACAGTCAACTCTGGTGAATTGCATTAATGCATGTTATGCAGCGGGTTAACATCTGCTGTGCCAAACCAGCCCCATTCATTTAACTGGGCTGCCAATACACCAGAACTGAAACCCCCCCCCAAAAAAAACAGACCTTTATTCATGACAGTGCACCACAACAAATGGCACTGCAACCTATGCATTGAACATGTGATAAGAAGCAATGTCACTGCAGCGCAACATTGTTACCATTAACTCAATATTAGTGGGTCCTTAACCGCTTTCCTGCTGCCCTATAGCAGATATACGGCTACAGGGTGGCAGGGGTGCGCAAAATCATATATGTGTGATTTTGCATTTCCAGGCAGGCATTAGTGGCCTTGGCTATCAATCACCAGGTCCGGCCGGTGATTACTTGCCGGCACCCAGTGATCGAGGAGCATTACTAACGCAGGGAGAGAACTGTATGTAAACAATACAGATCTTTCCCCCTTCTGCTCCTGCACACTGCTTTGTATTGCTCGGCATAGCAGTGTGCTTACAGTTGAAGGCACACACACAGCCAACAGTAATAAAGCACAGTTAACCCTTTGATTGCCCCAGATGTTAACCCCCTCCGGCCATTGCCAGTAGTACAGTGTCAGTGCTTTTTATTAGCACTGATCACTGTATTGGTGTCACTGGGGGTGTCAATGACACCAATTCAGTTCCCCCCAGTGTCAGAATGCCCACCACAGTTCTGCAGTTCCACTATAAGTCACTGATCACCGCCATTATTAGTGAAAAATAAAAACAAATCCCAGTATATATACTGCCATTTGTAAACACTAACTTTTACATATTTACTTTTACACGTATTAAGATTTTTTTTTAGCAAAGACATAGCAGAATACATTTTGGCCTACATTTATGATGAAATTTGATTTTTTTAAACTTTTTTCTGAACATGTTGAATAGCAAAAAGTCAAAAACTTGTTTTTCTCAAAATTGTCAGTCTTCTTTATAGTGCAAAAAATAAACACAGATAATCAAATACCACTGTAAGAAAGCTCTATTTGTGGGGAAAAAAGGACAAGTTTCATTTGGGTGCAGCGTTGCATGACCGTGCAATTGTAACAACTTTCAGTGTGATCACATAGTGCTGCTTGGATGCTATTTGGATAAGGTCTACAGGAACTCATGCTTACGATCTGCATTGGATAACAAATCTATTTGGTCTCTACTCCGGTATCTGCAACAAAAAAAACGGTCCTCTTTTCCCTTCATTCCTCAGGTTTGCAGGGTGAGACACATACGCCCTTTACAGTGGGTGGAGGTGTTCATATATTTTGGGGCAGACTGGAGGTCTATTTAGATGCCAACATTAGTCCTTTGCTTTCCCAATTTACTCGCAAATGGCATGCCTGGCATACTTTACCGTTGACACCAGTGGGCAGAGTGAATTTGTTGAAAATGGTCTATGTACTGAAATTCCTCTATTTCTTTAGAAAACACTCCAGTGGCCATACCTAGGGCTCTTTATGTTAAGTTGGACACCGCTGGTGGTCTCCTTTGTATAGGCCGGGAAGACTCCTTGATTGGCACGGAAGACACTCCCAACTGCCCCTTTCTCATGGGGGTATGGTCCTGCCTAACTTTCTACTTTACTAATGGGCAACCGTACTTTGTTGGTGGTTTAGTCAGCCTAAACCCAACCCTGCGGTTACCCTGGTGGCTGCTCTTTTGGAGTCCTATGCCGCATTGCGTAACTTGGGTCTATTGAGGACCCAGGGCCAACCCCTTGGTTATGGGATTAATGCATAATACACTCAGTTTGGGGCCGGCTAAAGCGGTTCATAGGGAGGATGCTAAATATTCATTCCCCCTTTGGGTAATCCACAGCTACAACACCTTTCACACCTTTTGGATCCTCAGGTGTGGACATCCAGAGGCATAGTGGCATTAAAGCATGTTATAACGGATGGGAGATTCTCCTCCTCACAGTCCTGAGAATTTCACATTACCAGCCTCCTTGCACTTTAGATACCTACAACTGAGCCACTGTTAGGTCCTAATTTCCAGAACCAATTGTACTTAAATACAGTGGAACATGTAATGTCAAAGGTGATGGAAAAATCACTGTCTTCCCTTTTTCTTTGGCTGTCAGTGGTGTACACTTCAAATTCCACCAGAACCTATGACAAATGGAAAGGTGACATCCCTGACAAGGAATGCATAGGTCCCTATGTTACTAATATGATCTCCAAGATAGATTTATCCAAATAAAGTTCTTACATAGCGTCTACTACACCCAGAGGTTGTAAAATAGGTATAAGTGAGCGCTAAAGGTAACAAAGCTGCTGAACACAAAAGGTACCAAAAAAAAACCTCCAAAAACTCACATATAAAAAAGGTGCAGCGCTTCCCAGAGGTTGGTGGCCATTTACCCAACAGTTAGTCCTCTTCGTACATGTCACTCCTCTACCAGCACCATCTTCCATATGGCATGGCAATGCTTGTACTGGTTGGTGCTCTGAATGATCCTGGTGACTGGTCTCTCCAGATGGACCCACCACTGATGTTACTGGGAGTTAAGATATAGCGACCACCAGATATTTTGAAGCTTTGTTCTTTGCATTCTATGAATGCAGGGAATTACTACTGAGA